TGTGGCCTCTCCCATTTGCGGAGCACAGGCTCCGGACGCGCAGGCCCAGCGGCCATGGCTCACGGGCCCAGCCGCTCCGCGGCATGTGGGATCTTCCCGAAACGGGGCACGAACCCACGTCTCCTGCATCGGCAGGCGGACTCTCAAGCACTGCGCCACCAGGGAAGCCCGCCCCCAGATCTTTTTAAGGATCCCTGAACGCTGGGCACGAGCTAGGCCCTGGGTGGGGGTGGGGGTACAGTGTGGGTCGGGCCCTTGTCCTCGGGCTCCCCCGGCAGGTGCTGGGTCTGGGTGGAGGGAGTGCAGAGTTGCCATGTCTTCTGAGGGGGAGGCTGCGGAGGCGTGGCCAGGGCCAGGTCATTTGTATTCCACTTACTTCCTGCCCCCAGACCGCGATTTTCCTGGGCCTGGGTGCTTGAGGCCTGGCTCCACCCTAGGACGAGACCGTGGTCCCTCTGAGCCTCGGTTTCCTTACCTGAAAACCTGCTATTGCAACAACTGTGAAGCCCTTGCCCCGAAGGAGTCCCCATCGGTGTTAGTCCGACTGTAACAGGCAGCGCGAGGTGGCTGGGGCCATCTCCAGCAGGCACTCGTCCCCTGATGCCTGCACACGTCCCTGCAGTGGCTCCTGCCAGCCTCTGGCCTGGCTGCACAGCCCTGGGGTGGACGATGTGGCCTGGGGCTCCCTTTCCTCCTCCTCCAGCACCTGCCCCAGGCATTTAGCTGTGCCCCTCCCTGGGGACCCTACTGAGAGTCCCACCCAGACCTCTCTGTCCTCAAAAGGCCAGTCAAGTGGAGCGAGCAGTTCCCGAGCAGCGCATGACCGCACCATGCCAGGGGCATTCTCGGGGATGTGGAGGCATCCAGAGGAGGCATCCCACCCAACTGGGCTTGAGGGAGAAACAGTCAGGGAAGGCTTCCTGGAGGAGGCAACGTATGAGCTGAGTATTGCAGGGTGAGTAGGTGTTTGCTAGGCAGAGGACAGGGAGATGTAGGATCAGCTTAAGCAAAGGCGCCAAGGCCTACAATGGCCTGTAAGGGAGAGGGGAGTTGGGTGGGTTGTCACACTCAAATACAGGTGCCAGGTAGACGTGGGCCGTGGAGGAGGCATCGTCAGTTCCTTTCCAGGAGATGGGAGGTGGTATCCAGGCAGAGAAGGAAGTGTCAGCCGCAGCCCCATAGGCTAGTGTTCATGGTAGGGCCAAAAGTGTACCAGCTGCAGCCGTCTAGATGTCACCCCATTCCCCTTATTCTGTGGGCTCTGACAGGACCTGCAGGGAGTTTGGCCCTGGGCTCACTGATCCGTAGGGTTTTACTGGATGCATTGCACTGTTTGGACGCGGTGGGCCTCTGCAGCCATTCGGATAGACTTACTCATTTTCTCCACTCTACACCTAAGGAAGGTGAGGCTTTGGTTCTCCTGCCTTCTTGCTCTGGGGCTAAGATGCGAACCTGCCGCAGCCTCAGCATCCTCAGAAAATTCAGGCACACCACTCGCCGAGGCTCAGAGCCAAAGGAGAAGACGGGGCATGGACTCACCGGCACAGGCCGGCCAGGGCGGGTGCCTGGGAAATGTTTCCTGCATTCAGAGCTGTGGCGCTCTGCATTGGCACAGAACAGCAGCTGCTGCTTCCCACCTCCCCCCCAACAGGCTGTCAAATTTTTCCCTCATTCTCTCGTTCTTTCCCCAGGACTCTGATATGCTTGCTTGTCATAATTATTGGCACTGGGCTTTATATCTGATTGAAAAGGTAAGATGACCGGCTGTCTTATCCTATAAAGATGTCCAAGGAAAGAAATATTTTTCTACCTCTTGCTATACTTTGTATCCTGTGGAGCAGTACGGTGTGATTGCGCATTTCAAAGGTGTCCTGATGCAGCAGAGCACTCATGTTTTCAAATAGCTTTTCAGGCTTAAACCACTTTAGGTATTCTGCACTGTCTGGACTTGGAAATCATGTGTATTGTGTGCCATTTGTGGAGACAGGGTAGCCCAAGCGCCTGCCGCTGTAGTGGACCGCTAGGCTCCCACCTCACGGATGTAGCTGAATGAACCACGGGACCCTCCGAATGCTTTGCCCCAGTGGCAGTGAGGGTGTGGGGACACCCTCGACCCCAGTGATTCCACCACTGGGTCCCATTTATAAGGGTTTGTCTTACAGTTTATCGTAGAGAAAATCTAGAAGCTCCCTAAACGTCCAAAGAGAAATGCTTGCAAGGTGAGGACCCTGTAATGACAGGCAGAATGCCGTGATACAGTGTCCCCAAGAAAGCAGTGAACCCAGCTGAATGGGCAGTAAGGAAAATAAAGGGAAAAACGATCCTAGAAGAAACACATGAGAAAGCTGGCAGCCGCTTGACAAGCGCTTCCTAGGAAGAATAATGCTTTCGCGGAAAGGGCTCCCTTAGCAGCAGCAGCTGCTGCTGCGTCTTCTGCACGGGGGAGCGAAGGGCTGGGGCAGAGGTGGGTTCCTTTCCTCCCATCCTGAGACCCACCATGGCTGTGGGGCGGGGGCTTTGTCGAGGCCATCTGCAATTCCTGTCTCAGCGTCACATTTCACCTCCACCACGTGTTAATCCCGGAACTTCATTTTTCCAGGGCGAATACGAGGCCGCATTGACCATTTATGATGACCACGTAAGTCCACGCTTGCACCCGATTCGGTTTGCTGCAGCGATTCACCCTTCAGTCTCTAACAGATCTTTGAGCCAATCAGTGTTACCCCAGCCAGACCCACAGCTGGCGCGAGAGCACAGCTCTTGTGTAAGGCCTCGCGCCATCGAGTCTCTCGCAGAGCGGGTGTCAGAACGGGATTTGGCTCTTTGCCCCTGGGCGTTGGTAGATTGCACATCTCATTTGGTCATCTCTGAAATCTCAGGCTTCCCTCCACTCATTTTATTTTATTTTATTTTTAAATGTATTTGTATGTTCTTTTTTAAAAGAAATGTATTTATTTATTTTTGGCTGTGTTGGGTCTTTGTTGCTGCACGCAGGCTTTCTCTAGTTGCGAGGGTGAGGGCTACTCTTCGTTGTGGTGCACGGGCTTCTCATTATGGTGGCTTCTCTTTGTTGCAGAGTATGGGCTCTAGGTGCTCGGGCTTCAGTAGTTGTGGCTCATAGGTTCCGTAGTTGTGGCCCATGGGCTCTAGAGCTCAGGCCTAGTAGTTGTGGTGCATGGGCTTAGTTGCTCCCTGGCATGTAGGATCTTCCCGGACCAGGGCTCGAACCCGTGTCCCCTGCATTGGCAGGCGGATTCTTAACCACTGCGCCACCAGCGAAGTCCCCCTCCAGTCATTTTAGATTGCTTTTCTTTGGTAAAAACATTGATCTGCCCATAGGATTTTTTTATTTTTTTTGGCCGAGCCGTGTGGCTTGCAGCACCTTGGTTCCCCGACCAGAGATTGAACCCAGGCCATGGCAGTGAAAGCACCGAACCCTAGACCACTAGACCATCAGGATCTCCCAGGAATTTTTTTTTTATTACAGACTTTTTTTTAAAAAATTTTTGTTTATTTATTTATATTTGGCTGCATTGGGTCTTCGTTGTTGTGTGCAGGCTTTCTCTAGTTGCAGCGAGCAGGGGCTACTCTTCATTGCGGTGCACGGGCTTCTCATTGCGGTGGCTTCTCTTGTTGCACAGCACAGGTTCTAGGCACGTGGGCTTCAGTAGTCGCACCACGTGGGCTCAGTAGTTGTGGTTCGCAGGCTCTAGAGCGCAGGCTCAGTAGTTGTGGCACACAGGCTCCGCGGCATGCGGGAACTTCCTGGACCAGGGATCGATCCCATGTCCCCTGCATTGGCAGGTGGATTCTTAACCACTGAGCCACCAGGGAAGCCCCCCAGGAATTTTTTTTTTTCTGTAGTAAAATATACATACCATATTTTACCGTTTTCACCAGTTTTGAGTGTATGGTTCTGTAGCATTAAGTATATTCACATGGTTGTGCAGCCATCACCACCATCCATTTCTGGAACTTTTTCATCTTTCCAAACTGAAACTCCTGGCCTACTAAACACTAACTCCCTATTCCCCCTCCCTCCACCCCCTAGGTATGTTTAAGAGGGGAAAAAAAAGCCTAACTTGCAACTGCTGGGGACCCCACCATGGGCTTAATAGCAAAGCCTGGGGTCACAAAAATGCTTGTAATTTGAGGATCTAAACCCCAGAGAAAAACACTCAGTAAAGTTTCCTACAGATCATCCTCTCGAGTTGTCGGGATTTCGTAGTAAAGAGTGAAGGGTGCCAAGAGCTGTGTGCCGTGAGACGTAGACCAGCCGAATGTGGAATTGTGGTCGGGTGAGATGATTCTCTGCCGTCATAGACCAGGGCTGGGGGCAGGAGGTGACAGGTGCCAGGGCCCGACAGGTGCTCCCCCAGCTGCCAGTGCGGTGGGCTCTTTCTCAAGTCTGTCCAGTGTCCCTTGGGCAGCTGGAGTGGTCCAGGCCCTCGGAGAGGGGAATGGCCCTGAGAGTTGGGGTGGAGGGGACACTGGTGGTGGCTCCTGTTGGCTGAGGGCTGGCTCTGCCCAGGCCCTACACACAGCCCAGAGGGGTGGGCTCTGGCCGCCCCTGCAGCCCCTCATCCCCTGCCTGCTCTTGTCTTCCAGATCCTCCCCAGCCTGCGGGGCAGCAGCGCGATGCTGGACGTGGCGGACAGCTGCTCCATGCTCTACCGGCTGCGCATGGAAGGTACCCGGTCTGGGTCTCCCCCTCCCGCCCGACGAGGGGGTGGCGCCACGGCCTGCGCTCAGGCCGGCAGGAGCTCATTAGCGAGTTGCTCCAGGGCCCGCTCCCTGTCCTGGGACGGCGCGGCTCCGGGTACCAGCCCTGCGGCTGCCTTCCAGCTGGTCCGAGGCCAGCGGGCCAGGCCACTGCTGCCCTTTCTCCCAGTTCCCTCTGCTCCTCGGTGTGCGGGCCTCAGGCTCCGAATCCTGCTGGCACCTGCCGTTCCCACAGCCTACCTGCCAGGCCTGCATGGCGCGGGTGGCGCCTGGCCACCTGTCTTTGGGTGCCACCTCAGTTTCTCAACTCCCTGGGATTTCAGAGGGAGGTTTTTCCCAACAGTGTCATGCAGTGCTCTTCAGGGAGCCTGGATGGGGTTGCCCATAGCCCTGAGGGCTACGGAAGGCTTATGGCCAACCACTAGGGTACCAGATAGCTCTCCCCTCTCCCCCAGGCTCAGCAGAGCCAAACCTGTACCCACTGTAGGTCCTGGGTCAGTGGGGATGAGGCCCGGGCAGGACTGGCTGTTTCCGGGGGCTCTGGGAAGGCTTCCTAGAGGAGGTGAAATGTGAGCCTTGGAAGGGAACGTAGGGTTTTGCCGGGTGGCGACAGGACAGGATGTTACAGGTGGGAAGCAGCCTATCAGAAGCCCCCAGGACACAGAAGCCAGTGGCCTGTTACGGGGATGAGTGACGGAGTGTGGGGTAGTGTGGGGTCGGTGCGCTCAGAGGAGCAGAGGAGGCTGAGAGCTGGGGAGGGAGCGTGAAGAGTGTGGCTTTCATCTGGGTCTGCGGGGAGCCCCCGGGGCAGGGCTGGCCGGGCTTTGTCCAGCAGGGGTGCTGAGCCAGGGGAGGCTGGGCTGGAGGCCGGGGCATCCGTGAGGAGCTAGGAAAACAGTGAGGGGCTCTCACGGCCATCCAGGTGATAAGGCCTGGACACCGGAACCCAGGCTGGTGGAGGCCTGTGTCTCTGTCCAGCCAAAACCATCCGGAACTCGGTAGAGGTGGGGGGCCTGGGGGCAGTTGAGTCCTGTTGACCCTTCGCCTGTGGAGGTGCAGCCTGGGCCCCCCTGAATTCGCCGGAGGAGGGGCCCGGCCTGGAGGCTTGGAGGCATGGTGTGGGTGCCTCGGGGCCAGTGCAGGGAAGAGGAAGGCCACTTGCTCCCTCAGCATGCAGAGTGGAAACTTCAGAGCCCCGTCCAACTGACAGGCAGAGAAACGGAAGTCAGGGGCAGCAGCAGGGTCACGGGAGGAGCCCGCTGGGAGCAGCAGGAAAACTCGGGTAAAACTTGCAGGAGCGGGAGGGACAGGAGGCGGGAGGCGGTGGTGGGGAGCGGAGCAGAGGAGGGACTGTCCAGAGCTGGAGATCCAGACCCAAAGGCCGAAGGATGCTTTTTATGAATTCTGCTGTGCTGTGCTGTGTCAGGTGCCTGCCCAGTGAGAACCGCGGGAAGAATTTTTAAAGTGGTTTGGGGTTTGTCAAAGGGTCCAGAGACCTCATTTAATACCCTTCCATAGCTTTTTTTTTTTTTTTAACTTGCTTTCTACCTTACCCGTCTGCCGCTTTTATGATTAAACAAAGTTAATATAAACCGGCCCCCAAAGCCTAAGCCGGAGGCCAGGCACCGCCTGCCAGCGTCACCTGGCCTCCTCACCTGGAGCCACCCGTGGGTGCCAGAGGCCCGTGCGCGCAGCGCTCATGCCAGGCCTGTGGGTGTCCTCCCGTGTCCCCAGGGGTGTCTGTGGGTGAGCGGTGGCAAGATGTCCTGTCTGTGACCCAGAAGCACAGCCGAGACCACATCCTGCTCTTCAACGATGTGCACTTGCTGATGGCGTCCCTGGGCGCTGGGGACTCCCGGACCACACAGGAGCTGCTGACCACCCTGCGGGATGCCAGCGAGTACGTGGAGGGCCCGGGGCCACCAGGGGGACCCCCACCCCGCTGAGAGGGCCCTGGGGGGCTGCTCATGCCACCCCTGACCGCCTGGGGGGCTGGAGGCCCCACTGGTGGGTACAGCCGCACAGACGCCTGTGGAGGGCTTCTTGCAGGTGTGCGCCTCCTGGGTATTTGTCCCCATAGGTGAGCATCCCCCGCAAGTGTGTGCCCCCAGGTGTCCACTCCTCACCCCCCACCCTGGCATGCGTCCCCGCGGGGTGTGCCCTGCGAGGGTATAGTTGGCTCCCCCAGGACACAGAGCAGCCTCTCCGTCCCCTAGGCCTCAATGGCAGTGTCATGCACAGGGGATGCAGTGAGGCCCTGGAACCAGAGAGACCTGCCGCTTACAGGGCCTCAGCTCTCTGATGTGAGCCTGCTTCCTCATCTGCTGGGACAGGCTGGTAGGAGAGTGAGGGGCAGTGACGTGGTGACACACACCCAGCACAGTTCCTGAGCCGGTTCCAATCACAGCGGGGGCCAGAGAGAGTCCAGGGAAGCGGGCTCTGCACAGCACAGGCCACCAAGGAGGCAGGCAGCCCTCGTCTCCTGCCTGTAGGGCTAGAGCTGTGGGACCCATGAACCCTGGTGGTTTGTCCCAGGCGCCTGGGGGAGGGTGGCCACCCACGGCCGCTTGCCCTGCCCCTCCTCCCAGGGCTGAACTGCATGAACTGGGGGCTTTGGCTGGGGACGTAGCTTCAGGCCCCCAGCCCTCATGACCCAGATCAACCGCCACCTGAGGGCGACGGGAAGACAAAGCCTGCCGCAGCTGTTCACTCCAGGGGCCAGTGCCAACTCCAGTGCCAGCCTTTACCTGCATTGCCCTGCGAGGGCGGCACTGCTACTCCCATTTTACAGATGAGCAAACCGAGGCCAGGCGTGGGCCATCCGCCCAAGGCCACGTTGCAGTTGAACTGAGTTTAGAGCCCAGTTCTCTCCCCTCCCTGGCAGCTTGTCCTCTGTCAGGTCACCTGATCAAAGCACCTACTGTGTCAGGCACGGAGCCAGGGATGCTGGGCTGAGGAGGAGACAGCCTCCTCCTCAGGTGCCTGAGTGGGGGGGGGGGG